AAAATAAACCTTTTCTTGCTATTCTAATATTAAATTTCTCCAAAAACTAAAGAATTAAATAAAAAAATTTTAAAATACATATAATACTTACAACCTCTTAAATAATTTATAAGCCTTCTACACTTATACGTCGTTTGGTTTAATTTCTTCAAGTCAGTGATTGATTCATTATCATCGGGAAAGTAAAACTAATAATAATCTGCAAAGATTATTAAAATTATCAAATCATCACAGAACTCTAATAAAAAAACTGCAAAGTTCTAACTTTTAAAAATCTTTGAAAATCTTTGCAGTTTTTAAAAAGCAAATTTGCACAAATTTTTAAAAGTAATGATCTTTGCAGATCTTTTCTTATCGGTTTTTAATTTTATTATTTATTCTTTTAGCAAAATTAATTTGGTGACTCGTCATGACTCTATATGATCGGCCAATCATTTTTAGATTGGTGATCATATAAGTAGATCATAGATTGCATTTTTTTGCCTTCGCCTCTTTGCTTTTCACTTTTTGCTTTGTTTTTGCTTTGTTTTTTACTTTGCTTTTCGCTTGTTTTGCTTTTTGCTTGCTTTTTGCTTGCTCTTTGTCTTGCTTTTTGTCTTGCTTTTTGCTTTGCTTTTTGCTTCACCTTTGCTTTGCTTTTTATTTCGCTTTTTGCTTTGCTTTCTCTTTGCTTTTTGTTTTGCTTTTTGCTTCGCTTTGAACAGGTTTATATTTTTTTTTGTTTCTTTTTTTTATTTTGAAACTAACAATTTTTTTTTTCTTTATTTCATTTTTTTTTCATTTTGTTTCTTTTTCCTTTTCATTTCTTGCTCGTTTTCATTTTTTTTTATTTTTTTTTCTTTTCATTTCTTTTTCTATTTGGTGGTTTCTTCTTCCTATTTCTTTTCTTTTTGCTTTTTATTCCTTTGTATTTTTTTCTTTTTTTTCCTTTCGTCTTTTTTCTTCTTTTTCCCTTCGTCTTTTTTTCTTCTTTTTCCCTTCATCTTTTTTTTCTTTTCATTTCTTTTTCTTTCATTTCAGTTTGTTTTTCTTTTTGTTTCTTTTTCTTTTTGGTTTCTTGTTCCTTTTTGTTTCTTTCTATTTTTTTTTTTTATATTTCTTTTTCTATT